ACGGGCATTCGTACTTCAATTTGGTCCTGATCACAAACGTCGGCGGCGCCGGCGATGTTCGTGCGGTTTCTGTGAAAGGGTCGACGAGTGGGTGGCAAGCGATGTCCAGAAACTGGGGCCAAAACTGGCAGAACAATAACTTTCTGGATGGGCAGACACTCTCTTTCAAAATCACCACCAGCGACGGCCGTACTCTCGTTTCCGACAATGTGGCCCCGGCTGGCTGGTCCTTTGGCCAAACCTTCACCGGTGCCCGTTTCGATGAACATCCAACCCTATCGTACTAGAAAGCCATGTCTATTATAAACTTTTATTAAGAACTTTTGATGGTTTTGAACTCTATTCATGAAGTTTGGTTTCAAAATTAATTTGTAATGATAGAGGAGTCCATACATATTATAAACGTTTGTTAAAAGATTCTTTATCTTTTCAATGTGAGATTTTTAACACACCCGTCTTTAGCTTTGTATTTGAATCTTGAATTCTATTGGTCGAACCCTGGAAGGTCATGGTAATCAGAAGAAAGAACAATATTTTTTGAATCCCACTTGCTTTTGGTTTTGTTTTGCGAAGAACAACGAAAGAAAAGTGTGGAAACAATCCTCAATTACGGATTAATTACTTTGGGTTCAGAGTTGTGCATCTGGATTTGAAAAATCTTTTGTATAAATAAATGAAAAGCCAGTGGGTACTACTACTGGGGAAGGCATGTGCAGACAAGAAGGGCTGTGGACATCATATTATACTCTGTCTAAATCAAATATTTACAGAATCTGTGATAATTACACTTATATTCATGTATTGATCCATACGGACAACCATATTTTCCAAGAACAATATCTACGGATAGATCTAATCACCTATAAAGTCCCTTCAATTCAAAACATGACAATCAAAATTTTGAATGATGTTTAAATTATAGGAATAGAATTTTAACTCAAACTTTGTAATCACTCGATCGTTTAATCTCATTTTTCTCGTACAACTTCATCCATTTTATTCGTATTTTTTATTCGTCCACTCTACATTTTTATAGTATAGCTACAATTGTAATATATCTCATTCTTATTCTGATTCTAGATAGTTTTAGTAAAAATTAGAAGATTTTTTCTAATTTCGATTGAGAAAATTTTTAGTAACCATAATATTCTCATTCCAATTGATTTTAATGTTGATTCCTTCCCATCTAGATTCCTTGAAAGTAAATAGGGCCTAAATTTTCTAGAGTTACGAGAGAGAAATGAAGAAAAAGAATTATTTTATTATTATTTTTTTTTTCAGAACTTTAGAAATAGCCTGTAGGCATTGATGTATGGCAACAGGCACAGGCATCGGCGTGTGGCTTGACGTATATGTAGAGAGGTGCAACAAGAGGTGTGTGGTAGGAATGGTGTAGGCATGCCCTGCACGCATGCTGGAGATGTATTGTGCGTGCGATGGACTTGTCCTTGAGGTGTGGGAGCTTTTCTTTTGCTCTTCCTCGAGCTTCTTCTTGGTGGCTCTAGTTAGAGAATATGAACTACAAAGTAAACTCCCTTGCTACCACACATCATCCATGAGTTATATATATAGTATACTAGCCTTTCATGGGCCACAGGCACTATTTATTTGTATAAAGATACACAACTTTACAACTTCGCAAAATCTTATGTTCAGCTGTAAACATATAAATGCATGTGATTTGACTAATGTGTGTTTGAGAGGGGTTTTAGCAAAAGTATTTTAATTATAAACACTAATAAAATATGCTTAATAACAAATCATGTTGATGTTTGGTTTAGGAAAGCACTGAAAAATGCCTTTTGATGTACTTTTCAATCAAACATTTACCAAAAAAAAAAACTTTACAATGTGTTTCCTACAAAGTTCTTAAATCCTTAATTGACAACTCCTATGATGATGATTATTATCATTACGATTGCAAGGTTAGGATAGAGCCATTATAATCCTTTCAAAGAAGCATTTTCAATATTATTTTCTAAATCATATTTGATAGACTAATAAGGTGATATCATCCATAAATATATATTTAAGAGTGGTTAGAAGTAAAATATGATCAAAGTCCTACATGATATATATATAAGTGAAGACAAAACTATCTTTGCTTGTAGGAGGTTTTATTAGTGAAATTAAAAGTAAAGCGGAGAAAATGATGATAAAAGTGGACAATATCTTGATACAATTGTAGAAATGTAAAGAGAATATGTTGTGTAGAACCACACGATCTAAACATAGAATCTGGCCGTGTTGGTGAAATTCTCAGAGCCCAAAAAAAACATAGTAGTGAGCCTTAGAGTCATACAGAATGGATGAATATCCAACTAGCTCAAACAAAAAGTACATATCCAACTAGCTCAAACAAAAAGTACAGTGGTGAGCAAGTAAATCTCTATGATCAAACTAACATAAAGATGAAGGATAGTTCCATTAAGTCAGGTAGGTTGATAGGGGTATATATCGTTGTTCAAAGAAAAGTTTAAGACATGACAAAAGAATGATCGACACTAGGTATACATCACAACACAACGTGATTCATGGTTATGCTCTACCTGAATGTGTCAATAAAGAGCATCCTCACATTGGCACGAGTGAACAAATGAACAACACTCATCTTGAGCCTTGAGCCTTTTCCTTTCACTCTGAGTGCAATCAAAGTCTCTCATTCACTCGAGAAGGTGACAACAGTATCATCCAGTAGTATTTATTAATGAGCTTATAGAAACCATATTCATATCTAGATCCATGCATGTACTCACGGATCATTTGGTGAAATGAATGTAGACTAGATTGTGGTTGAATGCGATGGAGCAGCTGGCGAAATGGTTGATTAAAAGTAAAACCGCAAGAGAAATTGTTTGTCTCGGGAACTTAAGGCATTGGCCATCAATTCAATATCATATTCACAATGGTGAGCAAAAAGAGAGACACCACAAGAAAGAAAACGATGGTTTGGGTTTGCCACTGACTGCAGATCTTTTCACCACTCCAACAGATCTCTCTCTCTTACTCGTAATGGGGTCTTCCAAATCTTTGGACCACACCCATATTGAGCCCACTTCTGATGATTGCAAAGCAACCAAAAAGAAAATTTCTTGGTTTTCTAAAACGATTGCAGATTTCTTTCTTTAATATTATGTTCATGTGGCTCCTACTCCAAGAAAGTCGAAGAAGGGCGGTGGAACTTGAAGGGTCTCCTCCTCTTCATCTTCGCTCTCCAGAATATTATTATGATCTGATTTTGAGGTCCGAATTCGGTGAAAAGAGCTGTAATTGCTTCTCTCTGCTTCTATTCCCATCATCATCATATTCATAAATGCTGGATAATGTTTTGAACAATCATCATTCTCTTCCTCAGAGACTCTTCTGTGGCGACATGACGATACAACTTCCATTACCTTCCCTACTTCCCTACCTACACAAAAACAAACTTTCATTCTCATTAATCTCCTAATTCTGTGATATGATCAAAATTTTTAAACTGATGGGTCGGCCTAAATTTCTTAATTATTGGGCTTGAAAATTTGATAATTGTTCGAACACGTGACCTCATGTTCTAGTGTAATCCTAAATATGATTAAACCTGTAGATCATTTGAAGATTAACACACTTGGACCCAAATATTTTCTTTATTTCTTAGAAGGTTCAACTCCACCACCCCTACTGTAACTTCAAAGCATAAATTAAATTTATCAAACTCATCAATTTAAATTTTTAAGCTGACAGGTGATTTATTCATCTTTTAACAATTTTTTCGATACATGGAGTAGGGTTGAGATATTTGAACTCACAAACATATATTATAGCTGAACTAAATATTCTAGATTAACGTGCTTGTGCTAGATTATATTAATAATTATATAACAAACTAGAAAGGGAAGGGACGCACCAGGAGGGACGAGATCAAACGGCGTCTGATTCACACGCGACACGCCGCAAGAAACAACATTAGCGGCAAAATCTGCTCCGCCGCCGTAGAAGTTTGCAAATGGGCAAGAAGGAGAAGCATTTCCTCGCGGCGCAGCGGAGGCGGAGGCGGAGGCGGGGGCGCACGGCGGCTGGGCGAGCTTCCGCCGCCTGTAAGCACTGAACTGTTCTCTGCATTTTCTAGCCATTATAACATGCCAATGATTCTTAACAGCATTATCAGTCCTCCCAGGGAAAAGCCTGGCAATGCAGGCCCACTTGTTGCCGTAGAGTCTATGGGCCTGCATTAGCCGCTCCTCCTCCTCTTCCGTGAAGGCTCTGCGGTTGATCCTCGGGTCCAACTGGTTGAACCATCTGAGCCTGCAACTTTTCCCGGATCTGCCCTGGAGCTTGTCGGCTATGAGGTTCCAGTTCTGAGGGCCGTAGAGAGCCACCAGTTCCTTGAGCTTGGCGTCCTCCGCGGGCCTCCAGTGGCCTCTGGCGCACAGCTTCGACTGCCCGCTGTCCCTTTCCTTGCCGACTACTAAAAATCCGTCGCTGCACTCTGAGATCATTCTCCCGTTTTCGCAGCTTTCTTGAGAGGATGGACAGCCCATCGTTCTGCAGAAGAACAACAACCACAAGAAGAAGAAGAAGAAGAAGGCGGGTTGAATTTTTCTATGGGGTGTGGTATATAATGAGAAGAGATTTGGTCAAAATGTTGGTTTCTGACATGTTATGATGGGGAGGGGGAGCCTATATGGTAAGCTAGTTTAACAACCCCTCGAGAGTATGACGAGGCTGGGCGCAGGGGCATTTAAGTTTGAATCATGGGGTTGGATTTTGAGGGTTTTATTTTTACAACAATACTCCTCTTTTCCCAACACAACACTCACTCTCCAGCCTTCGGTGGTAATTGATAGTCATCTAATGCTTCTTATCTTCCTACTTCATCTTATGTGGTTGAAAAAAAGACACTTTTGGTTTGTCAAGTTTGTCAATTGTTGAGGAGCTAAGTATTTTTTTAACAAAAATACTCTTTATAGTGGTTCATTTTTCATTGCTTAGTTTTAAGGATCTTCCGTCGAAAAAGATAAGAAACCTAATAAGGATTTATAATATAATCGAACTATCATTCTCATTACCAATTGATTTTAAGATGGAATTTCGTAAATATTGATAGGTGGCAGAGCCCAAAAACTCAAATGAACATTCGGTCAAAAAATGAGATACAACAAAGATTAATGAACCCAAAAGAAGCACTATCTTAAGAATGCATGTTTAGAATATAAGTGATCTACTCCTCTCATTATCGATTGTTTTTAGATTGAATCTCATAACTTTCAATACTTAACCACATAAGCAACATTCAAGATACAAGACCAATATGAGTACAATTTATCTGGTTGAGGTATTTATATGTAATCAAAACGTCACGAGGTGGGCTCTTGCTTCTATATATTATATTTTTAAAAAAAAGTATAAGGCGTATTAAATAAAATAATATAATGTATGAATTTGTGGTGGTATATAAATAGTTAATATAATGGGGGGTGGGGCATGTGTAGTGGTGTTTGAAAAATGACAAGAAAAGACTGATAATGTGAAGTGTGGTAGCAGTTTTCGGACACCTTTCTTGTCAACATTACGGACCCTGCTTCCTTCACACTACCCAAACCCACCCCCAACAGACTACATTTCATATTCATCTCCCTATTATTTATTATTATTATTATTATTTTAAAAATATTTATATCAAAGTTTTCATTTGTTTCTGTGGTTCAACATGGACATAAATATTTAATTAATATTTACATCATATAATGAAGATATTGAAGAAATATATATTAGAAAGAGAAAAACATGTATGATAGAATATCAACCATGTGAATGTAATATTACTAATGCAAAAATTTAACTTATTTGCTGAGGGTGAAAATTGAGTAGATGACGTGGCATGCTCGAAAGGTTGCACTTGGATGGGAATCACAAATTGAACGTGTTGAAGGAGGATGCAGTATGGGTACATGTTGCGTGGTATAGGTGACGCAGCTCATCCTGTCCTGCGGAGGGGATAGAGTGGTAGGTCAAAGTACTACCACCACGCCACCAAGATGTCCTTAACTGTCGGTCAGAATCTCGTACGATGTCGACCCCAAGCCTGCCATGAATAGGTCGTCCTCGCTGATTGTCCGAGGGTGCCTATGAAAAAGAAAAACCACGACGATCACAAGGTAAGTAAAAATTTTGTCACAAATTTCTTAAGTTGTTCTCTGCTATATTCCTCTTTGATTACTAACTTGACTGTTAGGTGGAGCACCGCACAGATGTCGAAGATTGTTGTTGGAAGCTCATTTCAAATGACACATAGATCTCTTCGAAACTCGCGATCAACATTATTTACATATATGTATTTAAGCGTAGCTCCTCTAAAATCATTATTATGTTAAAAAAAAAAGTGAAAATTTAAAGATATATTTTAACATTATATTTCAGTAATCAAATTTAATTTTGAATAACAAGATTATAAATGTTTGGCAGTTTTTTGATTGAAGTTGGTAAAAGAGAAGAAAAGGCAGAGGGAATGGGTATGATTTTAACTAACTTGAACTTAAAACGTTTCAGCTAACTTCACAGAAGATCATTAATTTGTGTCAGCTAAGCTCTGAGTGAAATAATTATCAAAAATCTTCTTTTTTTAAAAAATAATAATATTAAATAAAGGGTAAGAAAATTCACTGAAATGGTGGTGTTGAGTTTCCATTTAAGGAACGATTCTGGAGTGCAGTTTCAAATCAGACATCACCCCATGACCATATAATATATATTTTCAGAATCCATTAATTTATTATTATTATTATTATTATTATTTATCTGTTTTTTCRCTGTCTGGGAAACCCAATGGCAGACGTTTCCATTCAATTTGTGTGGCAGTGTTAACAGGAATGTACTGGAGAGTAGAGAGAGGGAACAAGAAGTGACCCCATACAACCAAACCAAACCCTTCACGCATTTCATCTTACACATTTTTATATTGGATAATGTTTTCTTGAACATTTTTTAAATTATATAGGGATTTTAGAAACAAGTAGAATGGGTTTGTTTCCAATTTTATTGTAAAACTTAAATATAAATTGTTGGAGGTGATTTTTCAYCAGCCGCGTGGTAGTTCCTGATATGGTAAAGATGACGAGTCAACATGATTCAAAGCCTCGAAGCTCACTTGACGGTCGAACTGATCACCAGTTCGGTCCCTTTGACAAGTAAGCTGAGCTGACCTTATCCCTTACATCGATAGGGATTATTCCTMTGAGACATTCAAACTCATCTGTTTCAGCTTCCACCCGAGTTGAGATTTTGTAGAYTTGGTCGTTTTTAAGATCAATCATTGAATTTATGGGTATTTAAACAATACAATTTTATTTTTCTTAATTAAAAATAAAAAATCAGAAGCAAAAAAAATGAAAATATTATATAAACCCGTAATAAATATAGATGGTGAAAAGCTGTGTTTGTGTACAAGGCTAGAAATTTTAGGTGGACAGCGTAGGCCTGGTTTTAGGGAGACCCTAGGTAGGGGTAGCGTAGCCCCCCAACCAAACAGCCCGTAACCGCGTGTTCCTCTCCTACTTCGCTTGCCCGCCCTTCCAGTATGACTCATGGCATCTGGTCGGAATGCCACCTCTATTTTTTTTCTTTATGGAGGAAAAAAAAATGTAACTGTCCTTTTAAAAATTTAAAATTAGTAACTAAATAAAAAATATTTGAAGCTCATTTCTTATCATCTTCTTGGTACTATGTTTGTTAATTTACTAGATATTTTAGAGTSGGTAGAAGACMTGACATCGTAATCTCGCTTAAGGTGAATTTAYAAGACGTGTTTGATGACAATTTATATTTGTTATAGAAAGATTCTCAAAATTGTACAGAATTTTTGAAAACAACGTAAACAAGTTTATTGTTTATTGTTCTAAACGAAAASGTTATCAAACGGATTCATATATATAAATATCTTTTCCGTTTATTTCTTTATATGTTTTTTTTCATCAGAGAAAARGGAGAGGGAAATGTAAAAAGAAAAGTGAAATGGTACGTGGGCTATCATCGTCATCATCATGCATATGTGTTGTTTTGATGTGAGGGTAGAATTGGAATTGGAATTGGCCCGTGCAATGCTTTCTTTTCTGCTGCGATTCCCACGTGTGCTGACTCCTTTCCCTGCTCTTTTGGGTTTTCTATCACCACATTTCTTTTTCCTTTTTCTTCTTAAATTATTAGTTTACAACTCCAAAATCTTTTCCATTTTTTAAATTTTAATTTGGTATCTAATGGTTTAAGTTTCAAAATGCCTAATAAATATCTAACTTATTTGATATTTTTTWAAAAACTTAAGCGATTTTTTAAAATGTCGAATAAGTCCGACATCCATTAGATACAAAATTGAAAGTTTAGAAATCTATAAAACATTTTCTAACCTACTAGACACAGGGCGTGGCTAAAAGTTAAGGAAAAACTYGTAACTTAAATTATTTTTCATTTATTTAAAAATTCAAGTATCTCTTCAATGTTATGACATTGTCCGTTTTGGGCATAACGAGCTTTGCTTTTGGTTTCACCAAAAATGTCTCAAACAAGTGGTATTACCCCGGCCATTTTGGAAGAGCAGTTGATTAAGTAATTTCTAGTCCTCATCTATCTGGTATTTCATCCATTTTAGGTACTATCAATAAACCGAGCGAGAAACGACCTCTAAGTCTCTCGGCTTTTCTAACGATTTTTTCTTTTTCTCCCCTTTTTCTAAGATGTAGTAAGAAAAAGAAAAATAGGTCTAAGAGATCACAGTTCTTATATCTCCTCAAGTGCTTTCTTCACCGAGTATATGATTGCAAATGATTTTCCTCGTCTATATGTCATGGATTAATCTTTTTCCTAACCAATGTAGGACTTTGTTTGCACACCTAATCTCTCGGAAATGGGGAGAGACTGATGGAAAGGTCGGGAAGCAAGGRGAGTCAAAAGCGGAAATGAATGAGGCTAGTTTGAAACAAAGTGGGTGAGGGTGATGGTTTGAGAATGAGGGAGAGAAACAATGGGTTGGTTATTGAGAATAAATGGAGAAGGCAAAATATTGGATAGTAGAGGCTACAGGTGGTGTGTGGCGGCCCACCATTATACACACCATGATGCGTAAGATTCTGTTGGGAGTGTTCCCTTGGATGGATGTGTAGAGGGAACAAGCTGGAGCACTGCCTTTTCTACCTAGCTTTTACTATTCTACCAACCAGACAAACCCACAAACACTAATGTGATATGTGCATATAATGTTCTTTGTCACATCTTTTCACAATTTAAATTAATCTACTGTGCCCTTTCTCACCACTTATGTCACAGACTCTCGGACTAACCTGCCACCTATAACGTTTTTATAATGGATATGATATTGTTCACTTCAGAACAGAGTCGTCATAATTTTGAAGAGGTCYACGTGTCCTACGGACGGAGTATCGTCGGACAAATGAGCCTGCAACAACGATTCTCGACCTCGATGTGGTGTCTTGCCTAATAGACTTCGACACTCAAGTTAGTAATTGGGGTTAAGAAGTAGCAGAGAGGACAATTAGTGGTAGATTTTTCACTTACTTGGTGGTGGTAGTGATTCTTCACTTTTATAGGTGTTCATGACTGATCAGGGAGGACATTTCGTAAGTGGCACCACGGTGCTAGCTCYYTGTAGTACGGCATTTAAATAGGCAGGYGAGGGTGCGTGGTGGTCATATTGCCCTCTGTCCTTTATGTTTACTGTCGTTTGTAGGACGTGGTACGTCTCCTGTAATGCGCAGCAAGCGTGTGGTCTTCGTCTTCTCTCGCTTGTMCTCGCTTGTACGCTCTTGGTCCCCCTCCAACTATCACCCCAAACCCTCTCACGCCACCTAGTCGAATTTCTCCCTCAAYACTAATTGAGATTTTATGGATCTTTCCTTTTCTCTACTTCGGCCTTTACCTCTCAAGTCTCAACTCTCAGTCGTGCCAATTGCCATGATTTTTCTTCGTTTACCTGATCAAGTGCATATTTCCTTCTTAGCGGTAACAAGTTTTCGCCATCTACCTGTCAATTCTTTAATGAAAGTTATCATCTTACTCAAAAACTCTAAAAGTTTAGGCTCAGTCTATCAAGTTTGATCAAGGAAACTTGAAACCATCCATTCTTGACCAACAAAAATAAAATGGTCAATTTTCAATGCCAAGGTTATTGTACCCAAAATTGACACTCACACCCTTGTGCCCAGGTACGTACGACCTGATAGGCTTATTCAAGGAAGACAAAAAATCCACCTAGTACACACGTGAGTTACCAAGCCAAGTGCGTTGTAGACCTAACAGGTGAGACAAGAATCAATCTCTCACCCAATACCCTAGGCTTGGGCTTCGCTAGATTAGATTAGATTAGGGGATAAATACATGATTAGTCAATTTTCAGATCTCAATTTTAATGGATTTTAATTAAATTGACCTCTTAATATTGCTATCTACGAGTTTGTCATTAAAAAATAAAAAATGTGTCCAATTGTGTAAATTTTGCTCGACGAACTTCCTATCAAGAAAACTTTGCCGATGTTTTWTAGACTTTTGCAAATGTATTTTTTTGTCGGTAAAAAAATGATCTTTAGTAGCAAGAAGTTGACTTATTATGTGTATTTATATCTTTTCCATGTTACATAGTTACATATTCGTTACATATTCTCCCTGTTACATAGTTTGTATAATAGACTCCTAGAAAAACAAAGAGACAAAGAGACAAATTAATTAATAGGCATCTCAAATTAATTTTGGTTTAGTCATTCTTACGATTCTTAATTATTCTTATGATTGTTATTATTTAATTGATTCTTAATGTTATTATTTAATTGATATGAAATGCTATAATGCCTATTTAATTATTAATTAATAAGATTTGATTTTGATTCTTGACCTAAGTTAACTAAATTAAGAGAAATAAAACAGGGACGACTATTCCRAGTCAATAGTGTAAGTTCTTGAATTAAGAAATAGATTGTGTAAAGTCTATGATCATGATCCGATGTAAGAAACAAACCTTTGGATTTGGAAATTCAGTAAGAGAGATTTTCAAATTCAAATTTTTAGTCCATTATTTCAAAATTCAAAATCCCAATTTTATTAAACTTTGAGAAAATAATTCCATTAGTTCCCTAAACGGTCACCCATATGAACAAATAAGCAAAGAAAAGAAAATACCAAAGATATGAGGCATCGAATAAATTAGTAACAGAATAACATTACAATGAAGAAGGCAGAGAAGAAGAGAAAGTAACCAACCCAACCCAACCCAACCGAATTTTGACGATTCTCCTCTTGAAAAGGGTGTGTGGATAATAAATTAGAGTACAAAATAAGGACATAAAAATGGGAGGCAAGGCATTGATCGTCTTTGTCTACAAAAGGCCCAAAAAAGAAGAGGAAAATTGAAACAGAGCGCACCTGGGCGTTCTCTCTATTTCCTTCCCCACTTCCCTCCGTCGTGTGTAGCAACAAAAAGACTACTACTACAACACAGCATTCGTGGGAGTAGCTAGGCGTTGTGTTGTGTATTGAAACTTGAAAGCAGCCAAGGTTTTGAAGAGATTCAGTGTCATGTCATGTGGAGGAGTTTTTTCCACCTACAACCCAATACTGCTTCACAGCAATCAGTACCTTCTCAGGCACAAGGGGACCGTCCTCGTGATCCACCATTTTTGCATCCCATCTCATCCCTCCGATCATCTTCTTCACCTTAACGAGTACATCGACTTCATCCCGGAATATGACTGCTCCTTCAGGTCTCAAAATCCTGTCCATCTCCATAAGAATCTCCTCCATGTTGCATCTGTGCATAATTACATACAATAAGGGGCAGTAATACATCATACTACACATAACTTTTCTTTTCTTTTTAAATATCCATGAGTGTCCAGACCAGTTTGCGTGTACCTCGACTAATCTCACGAAACGACCACCTAACCTTACTACATTTCATTTTCATACATAACTATAAAAAGAAACTGAAAAGGAAAGCACCTGAGATTTGATGTATATTCAAATGGGGGTACTTACTTGTCCTTGTACAAACTGAAAAGGCCATGGGCATGAATGAGGTCGTACGTTCTAGGATAGGTGGAGAAAGCTTCACACCTGAACCATAAATAAAAAATAAAAGCAGAACGCGTCTTTAAATGTCAAACACCAGTTGAATATTGRAGCGGGAAATATTTAAGGAAAAAAAAAAGATTGAGAAACTAGTTATTGCAACGAAGAGAAACAAGTACCAGAACTTTAAAATAAAAATAAAAGGTATTGCCACATATGATACAGTTGTTATGTAATTCTATTATTGCCACACATACGTTTTGTGAAACTAACAAAAGTATTGTCAGAGATAAAAAGACTCGAAATGGTTCTATAAAAAATACTTCTATGAACTGTATTATCATCGACCAGGAAGAAAAGCATTCTGGTGGGGAATCATAAGTCAGCACATGCTCTGAATTCCATCCACACAAAGGTTGAATTAATAATTAAATGAGTCAAGGATATTTCCATAAAAGTTTGAGACAATTATTAAGTGTTAATGTATTAAATTCTTGAACTTCTAAAACTAAATAAGATGAATAAAGAGAGGGAGAGATACCAGTCATGGTAGATGCCGATTAATCCTCGTTCATAGATGATACCAAGAGTATTTTTTTCAGCTATAGTGGGTACCACATTCATTACCCATAGCTTAGAAGATTCAAGGGCTGCAGCAAAACCTCCCAAACCAGCATTCATATCCATTATATTACGATATCTTCCAGTATCAATATATTTGTTGATCTTCTTATAAGCCTTAACATGCCTCTTCCATTTGTTATTGTCCTCCTGATAGGCCTTGACAGAAATTCCAGGCACAGATCCACTAGAAATTCTAGGAGGTACAGCATAAAGCCTTTCAGGAAATGTCTTCAGTTCACCACCAGCAACCTCATCAGAATTCTCAACATTAGGATATGGAGTAATACAGGTCTCCATTTTTTCGTACCTACGTTCATTAACATAACATCAGAAAACAATTTGAGTCAAAGCATCGATTAGTTTTAATTAAGAGATTTTCTATAAATAGACAAAACTTTACTTATAAGATACCAACTGCAAGAAAGATCGTACCAGACATCATCTGATACTGGAGATTTACAAAAGACATCTCGAGAATCATCCTGTCTGTCACGGCATGAATCAGTATTTACTCTCTTCTTCCAAATTGCAATTTCACCCTTCTCAAACTTCTTTTCCCAGCAAAGAAGTTTGGCGATATCCTCAATCTTTCTCTGTTCCTCCTCAAGTTCATCTCTAGGACGCTGCCATGATTGATAATTAGTCCTCCAGTTGATTGGAGGACCTGAAAGCACCCAATAACCACCAGGTCTCAAAACTCGATCAACTTCCATTAGGTATGTTCCRTCTGCAGTAAAATAATTTGAGATGTCACCTCTAAAATTGCAGACTGCTTGATTTTCCTCATATTTTTGTTGTAAAGAGCTCAGCAATGCTCTTTGGAATGTACATTTTAGAAGTTTTAATTAACAGGAAAGAAATGGAAAAGTAAACAAGTAAATGCTCCTATCCTAATTCTCACCATTTGCACCCCAAGGGATTAAGCAGCGAGAACAGTGAGCCATGTCAAAGGCTCTAGACGGATAAGGCAGCTTAATGGTACCCAGAACACCAATAACTGCAGGCACTCCCCTTTCAAGAGCAAATTGAACCTGCGCTTCATGAGAGTCCCTAGGTGCAAATGACATGGCTAGCACATTTCTACTCAGAAGGTACGCACCCCAACTGGCAACCTGAGAAAACAGCCAACAGAAGAAGAATAGTCAAAAAAAGTCCGTGTAGCTAAGAGAATTTAAAGTGCATCTAAGGAAAAGAAATAAAGAAATAAGTATAAAGCGTAATGAGAATAGCATACCCCGCAACCAGTATCCAGAGCAGTCCTAACTGTTCCATTTCTAATAGGAATCACAGCAGCAAGTTGATCAATATACTTATCTGCCCCTTGAGGAAACTGAGTTCCCCCACCTGGGAACCTAAATACATTGCCCTCATACTGAATCCAGTTCTGCACAGCCTTCTCAACGGTCAAACTCTTATACGGTGCATTTGCAAATGGAACATAGTCGCGACTTTTTGGCCAAGGGAAGGGAGTTACATATCCTTTGGGGGCTGGTATCAAGCAATGCAACTTTTCTTCCTCAGTAGGACAATGTCTCTCACGATAAATCATGTTATTCCTGGGAAAGGTCATTGCACGTCTCTGATCTTGACAAGGGGTGTAATCGGTATATTGAGCATCACATGGTTCATATACTTTAGATTCTGATTCTGACTCGTTATTAGTCTCAGCCTCACCTCCATGATGAGTCTCGAAATTCAAATTCGAAACTATATTGCAGTCYGATCCACTCCTATTAATCTCCATAGCTATACTATCTCCCTTCCCAAACCCACTCCGCTGCCACGCGCCTAGTAAGTAGAAGAAAAGACACAAACCTACAACTATAAAAATTTGGACAGAGCTCCTGGTCCTCCCATCAGCCGAACTTGGTTTGGGTGCCATAATGTGCCTGTATGATTCCCACACAGTCGCTTAGTTATAAATGCAGCCATACAACGGAAAACAAAAAATCACAAGTAAACCACAAATAGGCCCTATGCAAATTTAGTATATGATGTCCAATTACTTCATTCAGTAACGATTTCACCATGATAAACAAATATAAACTTCTGAGATCAACAAAGAAAATCAAAGCATCCCCGATCCATCCAGATCCATGACAGGAGTCGCGAAAATCAAACTAGTTACAAACAATTCACCACATGAATTTCGCATAGAAACGGAAAAAACGAAAAAGCGAATCTGATACACATGTAATTAGATTYGAGTAGTCCCAGCAGCAGAGAGAGCACCGACAACAGAGGATTTAAAGAAGGATGAAGAAATAAGATGTTAGGATTTCAACAAAAAGAAAAAAAAGGAAGAGTCAGATGTCTCACCAATGGCAAGAAGAGGCACCAATTGAGCACAAAGAATCCGCAGCAGCAGCAACACAGATTCAGATTCAGAAGCAAAAGAGGAATTGGTTGGATCTGTGAAGAGGAAATGAAAGCATGGGAATAAGTAAGTGAGGAACCCTAGCTCCGACACGCTAAAGCCATAGATCTCTCATCTATTACATATAAATCTGTAAAAATCATACGATTTTCGATCTGTTCGGAGGTGTAAGATTGAAATGGAAGCGAGGGGCCGTACTGGGCTCCGCAACGTACACGTCTCCGCCTCTCTCTCTGGTTAATTATTAATTAAAATAAAAAAAGAAAGTAAAATGCAGAAATTATGTATAAATGGAAGGCGCGAGGACATGTCTGAGAGAATCCCAGATCTCGGTCTTATACTCAAACTCATTATGTATTAATATTTTGTTTTTGTTTTGTCGTAAATCATAATAATAATAATAATAATATTATTATTATTATTATTATTAATGTAATTTGTTTATTTTTATTCAACTCTGCGTTCTTCCACTGGACGTAAAACGACGTCGGTTCGGGACTGGAGGGAGTGGGCCCGCACCGCACGCGCTTTGATTTGAACGACGTGTTTACAGACAGACACAACCAAGATTGGAGGTTTGTGGGKCCCATGTTGTGATTTAAAAGCGATCTTTGAAATGGACGGCCCTGATTAGCGTGAGGATAATCCGATAGATATTTGTGAGATATCTATCCATCCATTCGCTCTTAACTTTCAATTTTATTAAATTTCATCTTAAATTTGATAAAGTGTTCAATCATTTATCTTGAGCTTATATTTGTGAGAGTTTGTATTCTTTTCATAGATTTTTATTTAAAAATTGGTTGAAATAATTATATTATCGTATATGTTAAATAAAATAATAAACATAGGTTTCAAATGGAATTAATAGGATTTAAATGAAAAAAGATATTATAGCTTTTTCTTGTTTTGTAGAAATTTTTAAGTTTGGCAAAATTATTCAATTATTGATTTTATACATTAATTAAACTTGATTTTATGTAAAACTTGTTTTCTATCTAATTTTCTTTTTGATATAGCAGGCAGGGTGGGGATTGAACTCACAACCTGTTGATTTGAGATATATATCAATTACTTTAAACTATGCTCGTTTTGGCAAGTTTGTTTTTTTATTAAATTGATTAATTTTTTTTAATTTTTACATTTTTTAATTAAATTTAGTAGGTGAATTAGGGAAATTTTAACAATGATAAAAGTTAGAAGACTTATCAAGTTTAAGTTCAATTTGATGAAATTTAAAGTTTTAAAATTAATACAATTTGTCAAGTTCATGGGTAAATATTGAGACCTGTTCGATAACAATTTCATTCTTTTTTTTTTAATTTATACTTGATTTCTACCATTTTTCTTTGTTATGTTTTTCACGGTACTTAAAAAAACATTTGTATTCTTAGTCAAATTTCAAAGTAATAATAATAATAAATAAATAAATACTTTTCTCTTCAAAGATTTTGAAAATATAGAAATTAAAACAAATAAACACTTAGGTTGAGGTAGTGTTTCTAGGCTTAATTTTTAAAAACAAAAAATTAAAAATTAAATGGTTATCAAACGGRAAAATTTTTATCTAAATTATTTTAAGTTCAATTATTAAAAAATACTTTTAGCTCCAAGGTAAGTTTCAATTATACCCTAAACATTCAAAACTATCACTTTTATCATTTTAACTTTTAACATTGTTTCAAAACTACCATTTTGTTTCTTTTTTTATAAAAATGAAAATAGAAATATGACTAAAAGTTGTAAAAATAGTAATACACAAATGAGGTGGGCACAAGTGACAAATCTCAATTATGTCCCTAGACCCTATTGTATACCATTAATTGAATCATTCATTCATCATATACATCTTCTTCCGTGATCCATAAAAGGTCGACTTTACAAAGGGAACGTCGTTTCCTAAGAACCTTGCAACCTTGCGGTTCTCGGTAATCGGCCGCATCGGCTTGGTTACCTTCATCACCGTCAGTTCTCGCAACCATTTCTTTTTTTAGTCCGTATAAAATAGATTTATAGACGTGGTTGCTAGGTGCAATAGAAGTTTCTGTTCGATCAAAATTATCAATGACAACTTACTATCCAGTGGACTTCATGAAATCTTCTCAATCTTCTTAGCTATCACCAATCTACAATGAACTGATATGTAGGCATGACTAGGGATAAAGATGAGGAAAGTCGAGGATATGGAAGGAGACAGAAAGAGTGTATCTCATTGATATATGGACGGATTGTGTTACAATTTGTTTACGATGGAGTCGATGTGAAAATTAACCAACGTACCCATATTTATATATTTTTAATAAACAAGAAAGGATGGAGGTGGAGTCGGTGCATGGGTCAGCCGACAGATATCATGTGGGAATTCTGACCAATATGGAACAGGTTTTTATTTTATTATTATTAATCKTCTGGTTTTTTAAGAAAGAAAACCTCACTTTTTCACCCCTTTAAATTGGTTTTAACCTTAAAATTTWAACTTTTGTTAAATAAAACTCAGAACTAGACTTGGAAAAACTATAGACCTTCTTTTGGGGTGGTAGATCTAAAAATTTTGTTATTTGATACTAATTTCTTCACAAAGTTATTCTTTTTGTAAYATGTTTTACTATATTACAATTATAATCAATCGTTTTAGTTCTTAAACTACGATCAGTCGATAATCCTTCTAAATTTAGTTATAGAAGTGCTCTTACTTCAATGACGATCATGACCCCAAATTGAATCTATAAGAACATTAGTAAAAATAAAATATAAAGCTACAATATAAAATGAGAATGATTATAATGATATGTATAGAACTCTTGAAACATTACAATTTTATATTATATTATAGTCCAATTCTTACTAACTATTATATTTAAAATAACTTCAAATAGTCAAATTCATAGTATATGTGATGTAAAGTTAATAAAAATGCAACTTAGACAAATAATCTCTAAATTGTCGACTTTTATAGATTCTACGAAATTGAAATTAAAAATTATATAACAAAAGTCAATCTTCAAAATTTATGATTATTTCGCTAAAATTAGTCTTCCAAAAATTACATTTGTGGTGGCTAGTTTTCAAAATTGTTTGGGGCATTTTTTTTTTTTTTACATTTTAATGTCAAATTTAAGTGGTTTTCCCTGGCCAAATTATCAAAACCACTCAATTTGATATTTGTTTGAAAATTTATTTAAATATCTCTGTTTCAAGATGTGATCTAAAAGTGAAATTAAAGCAGTCTTCTCAAATAATTTTTTGAATTTAATATTTAATAAGATGATATGTTTGGCTGTGTACTAAATTCAATTCATGACTCCATGGACTCTTATGTGACATGAATATTCTATCAAAATTTTCACCTTATTTTAATGAGCATTTGTCATTATTTTATTTTTTTTTATCATTCAGAGTTATGAAATTGGGTTTAACCTTACATAKCACAATTCCTCGAATTCAATCTAAAGGGTAATCTCAGAGTTCAAACAAGTTTGATCTACGACCGTTACTAATATTCATTTTCCTTGGTATCTACCTTTGCCAAGCCCAATTGTTGCACCTTTACCTTGATAGATAAGAGGATTGTGTGCAACCGCACACTACCACAAGTAATACAAGAAAAAGGTATTTCGAGTTCGTCTTCTAAGGATTTCTATTAAAATAAATTGCAAAAAGAAGATATGGTGTAGTGTGATGGTTTTAAAACGAAATAAATATCAATTGAAAACAATCTCTCTACTTCATACCTTAAYTGTAAATTGAAAAACACAAGATTTACAAGTAGCGCTCGACACTATTGCCTATTATACTATAAATTAGGTTCTMCTCTTATCACAAACTACTTAKAGCTACTTCAAAGAAAAGTAAGGTAAATTTGCCATAATTTCATTTCCCACTTGTTTTAATAAAAGAGTCCCACTTATGAACCATCCTCTAGGCTATGAATGACGTTTTGCAATCTTAGTAGTAACAACTACATGGTCTAGTATGATTTTCTGTAACCCATCATTGACATGTKGTGATTTGTTGCTAACCTAGAGACTTTCATCGCAAAGTAGTTGTGGTTGAGAGCCAAGAAAGTGTGTCTTCAGCGGCAGGGCTAGTAGCCAGTCTGTCCTTAAAGTCTTTTGTGCCAAAAATTTGAATCGAAGTATGCATAAGTCTCTACCAAAACTCAAAAAGTCTTTTAGTTAAAAAAAAAAAAAGAAAGAAAGAAAGAAAGAAGTTAGAAATATTTTTATTTTTAAAACAAAAGTTGGTTTTATGGTGACTTGGCTGGAGAGAACGGGTGTAAGCGGTAGAGCTTTGATATCTTTTCTAAGATACTATTTGAGTTCATCACTTGTTTCTCCTTTGTTTCTCCTTGAAGCATGACTTATTCTAATACGTTGCATGTTAATGATTGAGCTTGAAGTTGTGGTTTTCACTCGAGGACAAGCAAAAATTTAAATTTGAGGTGTGATAACCTATGTTGCGCATCTACCTTAATAAGCAACGAGACGTTAGTGCAAATGCATACTGCCCCAAAGTAATATAGGAAATGGTATTTCAAGTTCGTCTCCTGAGTGCAAACTGTATTAATACCTTAACCTATTGTAAAGGCATGGTTTAGCTACAACAAATCTTGGTTTAGAGTATAGGCAAGCCAATTACTAGAACCATAGCATAACTAAGATTGTACAATGGTGGCATTCAAGACAAAGGGTCAATAATCAAGATGCACGAATAGTAGTTGTGAAAATTCACTCACTTGAGATCATGAAAATTCACCCAAAGGGCACATCCATGTAGCCCTTAAACTTATATTAAATACAATATATTGTAATTCAGGGATATGGAAGTATCGGATGACAAGATTTGAAACTTTTTTAAAGTTTAAGATGAAGATTGCAATACACACATCTAAGTGTTGAAAATTTATAGTAAAAATTGGTACACATTACCAATTTCACCGTTAAAATTAATATTTTGTCATTATGTTTATATGATCAAGTTTATGCTCCTAAAATCAAATCCTCAATCCGCCACTACCGTAACATAGTTGCTAGAAAGAGAATGTAGCATTTGTTGTCTCTGCCAAAAAAAGAAGAAAAATCTGGGTGAAACAATCATCTCTGTTTCACATGTTTTTTAAGACATTTCACTTTTGTCTGTTTCAGCGCCGTTTGTGATGGGAYGGGATAAAAATGGAGACTAATGACTCATTTGGTAAYGTTCTTGTTTCTTGTTTCTATTTCTTTACTTTTAATGAAGAAAAATGTGTTGCATGATTTCAACCTACRAGAATTCAAGTACGATAAAATAATTTTTTTTTAATGTTTTGGAACAAATTGGAAATGAG